GGAAGGCACCCTTTGAAGGAAGCTAGCTGTAGCACTGACAGCACATTTCCAGCCACCCAAAACGGGGTATGAGAGCTACGTATATCTGCCGTTGCTCACACCCAGACGTCTCACGTGCACAGCACCTCCTTGGGAATCATTGCCGTGCTGGGCAGAGAAGGCTCAGCTATGAGCGCTCAAAGGTCCATGCCCGAACCAGCTCTGAAGGGCCAGAGGAGACAGAGGCTGCTGTGACTAGTTTGCCTAAGATGACATCTCGTAGTCCTGCTCATCGAGCAAGCAAAATTGTTGCTGAGAACAGTCAGAACTACAGACCCTCCCTGCAGCAACCAAGAGACATTGGCAGGGCAGCACAGGGTTCTGCTGCTGTTTGAAACACTCCAAGGCAGTAAAGCAGAGACTTCAAATACTTGATTGTACAGTTGTATTTCATGGTATTTTGATACCATGATATCAATCGATAACACTGCTTTGTTCACCAACCTGAACTCCTTGTTTGCTTTCTGCAAATATTTGCAAGCCCTAGGGTTCACCTTTTGACACCACTCTCTGCCACTCCAAGGGCTAGATGAGCTTAATAAAAAAAAGGGATGCTGTTACATCACCGAGGGAGCCAGGGGCCTTAAGAAAAAAGCTAAAGTCATAAAACCTTCAGAAAATCTAGAGGGAATTTGGATGACATGGTGTTTGTTCAGGGCTGGTGCAATCAGACCTGATCCAAGTACAGATTCACCTCACGTTAATCCTCTAGTGTAATGAGGAAAGGGGGCTCTCTTACTTTCCTCAGAGACTTTAAGGAGTTTAATTTCAGCCACATAGAGCACTTCAGTCCTCAGACAGATCTGTAGGTCAAACAGGATGTTTCAGTGCTGGATCTCAGCGCGGGCCAGCTTGGAGGAGCCTCTTCTGCAGCCACACGTCTGTACGGCATGGGGGAATTTGAGCAAAGGGACAAAGAGGGAGCATCTGAATTCTGGACCTGCAGTAATTATGGCCTCCAGTAAAGCTGATTTTCCATTTGCTGATGTTACTCTTGGAGTCTGGCCTTTCACTGCAGGAAATGAAAACCTGGAATGACCTGGCTGGTGCGTGGGGACCCATAAAAGCAGAATAGTCTTCATGCGCTTCAGCTTTGTTCCTTCCTGTCCTCTTAAATGTAATAGTCAGTACTGTGCAAGTAATGAGTATGGAGTAACAGTCCATACCTGTGATCCAAAGGTTCATTACAAGAAATGGGGAGCCCTGCCAAATGCTCAGTCTCCTTTGCCTCTCCATTTTCCTAAGAGGAAATACTGAATCCCAGAGAGGCACGGGGGTGTGAGATCAGCAGTCAATTACCATGCCTGCTCAAAAAAGAAAAAAGGAAAACAAGCCTCCCCACACTCAGCCTCCAGCCCCCATAAATAAATAAATAAAGAGTCTTCCTCAATTCACAGAAGTGCTGCAGTTTGGTGATATTGTGCATCAGCTCCATGGTGAACACTGCAATGATGTGAACATGAAACATGAAGCCGCACATTACCCTCAGCAATGGGGACAGCTCTGCCACCTAGCTCCAGCCACTCACAGCAAGTTAGTACCGCCAGCTTGCTCCCTCAACGAAATAGGAGAGGGAATTTAATTTTCATTTCCTTTATCTTGCTTCCCAAATGACATCTCACACACCTGCTGAACAGAGAAGTCATGCTGTTGTCAGATGGCCATAAAATTCTAAATCCTTTGGTGGGGGTATTTCTTCCTATTATTTTAAATAGGATTACATATACACTTCCTTCCTAATGTCCTAGTCCTTCCTAATGAACGACTGATTTTCCAGACCCCAAGACACATCAAGTGTTCCACATCATCTCTCTACCTATGGGTGAGCCTGAGTTTCACCGACTCCCCATGATACGCCACGTGCCCAACCTCTCCAAGAGCCTAACCAGCTTACTCCTGGACACTGCCAACAGAACCAAACCCTCACATTTGTAAACCTCTTTGGAACTCCAGTCATTTCTCAGGCTCCAGCTCTTCTGGCCTATTCCTTTGGTAAGATCCGTTTTCAGGGCTGCAGTTCTACAGTCTCTCTGGATTTACAGATCACCTCCACAGGGTGGTGGAATTGCCAAAGCAAACAAACATCCCTACTTTGGGGAGCTTCTGGAAATCAGGTCCTTGTACTTGAGCCAAGGCAAGCAGCACAGACACCTCACCCGAATAACAAATGCCTACATACACGTTCCCATCTCCATGTCAGAGCTCTAGACTTCTCCCAGGTTTAGATCAGCTCCCTCTAAGGCCTTCTGCCCTGCTCATCCTTTCTCTTTTCAACATATAGAGCTTGTATTTTATATGCGGTTTCTTCTTAAGCTTGCTCAGAAGCGACCAATGTGAGACACTCCCTTTCTTAAGGCTTAGCACCCTTAGACATGCAACTCCGCATAAGTCTTTGCTAGCTCGGCTGTTGATTCTTCAGCCCAGTCAAGCTTAGAAATTCCTTGTTCCAAGTTATAGCCACGGCTCAGCACCACCGAATGTCCAAACTCATCTCAGATCATTCTGTAATCCTTTATTGACAGCCCTACATTGAAGTATCAGTTTCCTATAGAAGTAAAGAGACAGAGGAGGCAAAGTCCCAAATTCAGAGCAGAGTTTGCTTGACAACAGGGTTACACAAGAAAGCCATTGGGAATTAATAAGTGACAAGATTTGGGAGGTGACAGGAACGATACAACCCAGAGAAGATATTTATATATTCTTTGTGTTTGCTTTACCTAGATACAGGAATTCTCATTTACATTTCTCATTACACTGGAGATCTTCTAGCCTTTGCAACTTAGGGTTGTTCCAACTCAGGCCCATATTGCTACTATTCTTGTAGAGCCTCCGAGGTGCTTTTGCTACGGTTGAAGTCTTGGTTTAATAGTTGCCATTCTGACACAGAAGAACAAAACAGGCTCAGGAATGGCACGTCACCCTGCTGCCCACCTGCAGCCCCAGCCTGGCGCAGGGTCTATATCCCAATGTGCCACCTCCTCTTTTCCAGAGCACTCACTAACCCACCAGCTGTGCTGCAACCAGCTGAGGAAGCCAAGAAGGTTTGGGCCATATCTCCTCCCTGCAGAAAGTGTGAGCACCATTAAAGCAGCCTCCTTTCAGGCAGGAGTCTGCAGATCCACCAAGGTCCTTGTTCCCTCATCAGAGAGGGGCTTAAACTCACTTAGATCAAGGTCCCTTTCATTATTCGTTCATGAAAGTCAAGACGCTGCAGATATACTATGAACACTTAGGAGAAAAAAAAAATTACGGCATCTAAAGGCACTTTAAATGATTTAGATACAAACTTGCCTATAATAAGACATCTATTTTGGTTAATCTCTTAGTTGCAAATCTTGAAACTCTTGAACCTGCCTCAGGCTACTGTCAGCAGCACTTCATTTAACGCTGCTTATTGGGAATAACTACTATTTCCCACTGTAACCTCCAAACCTCTTAAAGTCTCTCTTATTGCTTTGCCCAAATATACTTGCCTTGAGGATACAGAAGGGTTTTTTTCCCCCCCTCTCCCTCCCTACCCCTCACTAAGAACTGTTCAGATGATTTGAACAAGCTGAATCAGAAGAGACTGTTCCCAGGCGAAGCGGCCAAGACTCAGATAATCTTCGCCCAGAATATTTAGGGAGTGAATTTTTTTTTTTTTTAAGCACTTACTCAGGTTATGAAATCGAATGGCTGGGCTTTGATCACTCATTGTGAGTAAAGGATTCAAGGAGATGGGGAGGTTTCCAGCCTCCCAGAGAGCCTCTTAGTGACTGTCCTTCCTGCCCTCACCTGAAGGGAGGCACCTCTGGAGGCAGAGGCACAACTGCAGCCGTTCCTCCTTTTCCTACCTTCAAAGCCTCGCTTTATGGAGGCTTGTGAGAGAGTTTAGCACCACCAACTCCAGAGCTCCTGCTTTAAGTTTGATTAGGCTTTTAGTTTGATTGGAAAAAGCAACACAACTCACTGTCCCAAAGGCTCCAAGGGGCTGGACACTATATCAGTAGGTCCCCTAAGAGCCCCCACAATCCTTGCCTGCCCCTCTCAGCAAGATGAGCTTCGTTTCAGTGGGGCAGGTTTAGTTTCAGTGCAATCCCTAATTGTACTGAATTTCAGTTGCAATTCAGTTGCACTAATTTCAGTTGCAGACCCTAAAAATATATAAGAATTGCTACATCACCAGGTCAGCGCATCTTTAGCTCTAAACAGTTGATAGGAAGAGCAATATTTTTGCCCCCAAGACAGAGGTGGTGACTATCTTATACTGGGAATGCTGCAGGAAGCATCACTGGGCAACTGCCCACCTTATTCCCTTGTTCCATGCAAAGTCATGCCAGCTAGAAATAGCAGCAGGAGAACAAAGCAACATTAAAGAGTCCTCCAAGAATGTCTTTTAAAAGTGGTATCTTCAAGTAGGGTATGGAATTATCCAGCATAGCTCTGTATCAGAGAGACTGATTAGGCTTCTGACAAATATCCTCCTTTTTATCCAGGCTCAGATTTGGGTTGCATTGCCAGATACAAGCACAGACCTTATGTCCCATCCACAGGCATCACCACAGCTAACCATCACACATATCTCCCTCCAGACCAAAATATTTATCAAACTTGGCACATGCAGCTTTAGCTCCTCTCTTAGAGACATCTAAACTGTACTTCTCAAGCCAGCGCACAAAGATGCTCTACGCACCTAGCATCTGCATCTAGCCCTTTACCTGAGATCATCTCAGATTGCAAATATGGAAGAGTCAGCTAGATTTAAAACAAACACCTATTCCCCTTCCCCCTGAGAAGCAGTTCTCAGGGAGAAGAAATTCTCACTGAGTAATCAAACCCAAATGTTCAAGAACAATTTCATTCCTGCTCAAGGTACAGCACACACAGCAAGCTGCTGCACAGCCCTGAACCCGTGCAGAGGGCTGAGCCATACCCAGGGAAAAACATCCTTACTTTTAAACCAGAATAAAAGTTCACTATACCTGCTTCTTCATCAATGGCAGCTCCCAACAGCAATTCCACCTCTCCCAGAAGGTTCCAGCAAGGTACTGAACCCTTCCAGGTGAGCTTCAAGCCAAGGCAGGTCCACACTCTTCAAGCAAGAGCAATGCTCAACTCTGCTCATCCCTACCCAACATGTTCCCAACCACATCACCCTTATAGGGATCAGCTGCTGCTTTTAAGGCCTTGGGAGGATTGAGGATCACCTGCAGCAGCTGCTGTTGCTCTTCACTTTTGCTCATTTTGCACAAGGTGGAAGCTCATACAAAGCTCATCTGGCCACCTTCTGGTCCTTCTGCCAAAAGAGCGGGGTGCATTGGGGCACTTGCTGCCGAGCACCCAGGGCTTCTCGTTGCCCACCTGAGCCTTGCAATGGGAGCAGTGCTGTCACCTGGACTTGCACGTGAGCCTCATGGACAAGCTGCTCCCTCGCGCTGCAGTTGCATGAAGCATCCCTAGGCCTCTTGCCATAGCAGAGCTGCTATCTCCCTCCCTCCAGAAAAATCTCCTATGGCCCTGGAAGCTTCAGGTTTTACTTCCAGGTGCCGAGAACTGCTTGAAGGGAGCTCTGCTCAGTGTCCATAACTCTCCATAGCAGGAAGGACAGTCTTTAGAGATACCAGTTCAACCTCCTTTCAGCTGCTTTGTACCTTACTCTATCAGGCAGCGTTCTCCTCTGCTAGATAAGCTCCTTTCCACTTTGGAGAGTTTCAGAAATCATTTGCAGACTTTTCAGATTTCTCAGTAGTTTGGTTCCTTATTAAATATTACTAGTGGTAGATATCAGACTCTCTGCCATACATCCGCTTTCTGTTACAGTATAAATTGTAATCTGTCTTCCTCCTTCTGTCTCCTCAAGTCTTAAAAGAAAAGGAATAAAAAGGAGAGCACAAAATAATTGAAAGGAACCGTTTAGAACAGAAATGGAGGAAAAGTGAAGGGAAAAAAAAAAGCTACCATGATTGAGAAGTTCAATAAAACTGGGGGAAGAAGGAAAAAAAATCCGATTTCTTTAACAAAATGGATTATAAAAGAGGAGTTTTTCAACTAAGTATTTTTAATATAAAAATGTCATCAGGGTCTAACTCTGATGCAAGCCTATTACATGGTCCTGTGCTCTTTCTTCTTTATGCAGACACATAGGCCTTTGCTAAGTGCCTTGCGAGCCTGGTGAACAAACCCCATCCAAAAACCCAGCAAGGCTGCCCCACCTGTGTTATTATGAAACTCAATGCACCAAAGAGTTTTCACTGGTACGTGAAAGAGCTTCCCATTGATCATTGATCCCATTGAGACCTTTGATCCCATTGAGACCTTTTCTTGGCAGAGATGAGCTTCCCACCTTGCCACGCCACCATGAAACGCTGACTGATGGATCCTGCTTTCCTTTCGGTAAGTGCTTCAAGGTGGACTTTATCCTGCCTCTTCATCCTCACACTAAATGTTTTCAGCATGAAAGATGTGGATTTCAGAAAGCTTTAGTTGAAAATAGCGTAGTTTGGAAATGCTTATGCAGCTCAAGTGCTACCAGTCTCTGCTCACCACAATAACGAGCACATACCCATTTAATGAGACTTTATTCTTGGTACCCACCGTAACAAGTTAATATTTAATCCCAAATCCACACGAAACCCCAAGCTCTTCCCGTCTCTCCTCTACTTTTCCAGGCTCTCCTGTACTTCATTTCCCTGGAAATCTCTGACCTCTGTAAACCGACCTGAGACGTGGTTGCTCGCGGATGATCTAAGCCTCACCCTGGCTTTTTCTGCCTTTCTGCATAAGCACCACACCTTTTGATCCCCTAACCGCTGTCACTGGGGACCTACAAGGTTTCTTGGATAATCCCAGAGAGTCGGGGCTTTGTAATTCGTTTCACTTTGATATCCCGGGCAGCGCTGGACAGCCCACACATGAAAAGGCAGACTTCCCTTTCTTCACAGGCTTAATTTCATCTGCAAATTAAACATATCGAGACAGATATTTATAGAGGAATGCCCGGATCTTCCCGGGAGGACCGTGGAGTCTCCAATGTGTAATTTTGCTTTAGGAAAATTATTTTAATTTTGACTCGCCTCTGAAGATGGTGGCAGGCGAGGAGTAGGGCAGGGAAGGGGTTCCTGCAGCTGCCTCTCACCGCTCTCCTCTGCTCCTCTATCAATTTAAGCCTAGGGCTAATACGACACAGAACCGGCTAGAAGCACACAAGGGGACTGAGTGTCTTTCTGCTTCCCTGTCATTGTCCTCTGTAAAGCTATTTCGGGATGTGGTTCTTAAAAGGCCACAATTTTTAATATTAAAACTGGGTCTGTACGTTGCTAGACACGCTTTCAGGTGTGATTTCCAAAATCCCCCCTCTTTTTCCCACATGGGAACAGCTGAGGGTGGAAAAATCACAGGAAAGGTGGTTCCAGCGGTAACGAGAAGAGGGCATTTGGTACATCACTGCTATGAGATACCTCTCCAAGCTTCAGTAAACTTTGGAGTCCCCGGGAAGCTGGTAATGTGCTTTGGAAAGAAGCACGACTTATGAAATTGCAGTTTTTAGCTTAGCTGGGTAATGTTAATGAGAAAATATTGCGATCTGCCTGTGGAATTCTCATGAATCCTCTAAGTTCCAAATGAATTATTCTGTTTCCCTAAATGAAGCAAGGCAGTGTAATGCTGCTCCTAAATCAGGCTGGCGCTGATAATTATTTATTAATTTGTGGAGGACGATGCTCAGGCCGTGCCAGATAAATACAGCCCAAAACGTAGCAAGGAGTCCCAAAGTTTGGCTTGCTGTGGGCAGGGAAAGAAAGTCTTTTCTTGGGATTTTAAGGGAGCCGAGAGGCCGGGGTCGGAGCCCTGTGTGACAGAGCTGATCCGGGCGGGATGGTAACAGGGACGGGTGGATTTCTGCTGGAGCCGCTGTGCAGATGATCAAAACCAGGCTCCCAACTGCAGCGCAGCAGCCTCGCAGTGATTAAAGCCTGAGAAACGCAGCCCTGCACATGCCTGCTGCGGATCAGTTTTCACATCAAACGGCGTTTCCCACGAGGACGGCTCCCACACCGCTGAACTCATTTGCTGATGAGAGCTTGGGGTTGGCGTGGAAGAGCCGACAGCCAGAAAACCTCTCTGAGCACTGTTGTTTACTGCCAAAGTCAGAGCCCGAGCTGGAGCAAAGCGCGCCAAGCCCATCCTCACACTGCGCATCCCACTCCTAACTTCAGGAAAGGTGCGCAGGTTTTTATTAGCATTCCAGCAAACCTTTGCCCCGCCAGCAGCAGCGCCCAGCTCCCAGGGAGCAAACCCTGCCACGGGGCACAGGAAGGGCCCCGCTCTGCTTTGCTGGCTGGCTCAGCGTGCAGGCGTTGGCGGGCACGGACTGCGAGTTGAGGGCCGATATTTTCATCACTTTCCTCCTCCTGGGCTGGCCCTACTGAATAGGCGGCCATGAAGAAGTGGCCACGGGCAGGGGGACGGTGTGAGGAGGCCACCACGGCCACCAGCAGCCTCGTGCCAGGCCCGGCAGGTCACGCACCAGCCTCGGCCACCAGATACAGGGACGGAGGTACCCAGTCCTTCCGCAGCCCCACGGGGACGGGCTGGCCCTTGGTGGCAAAGCCCATAGCGGTGCCTGGGACCCAGGGCTTCTGCTGGCACCTGCACTGCCGTCAGGAGAGGATTTATTTACCCCGAATAGATCTCCAGTGAAGTTATTAATCAGGGAGAGGGAAGGGTACAAGGCAGTTTATTGTGTGCTCTGGATGAATGATCAATCCAAGGGCTGACGCCTCGGATGGCAATCAGGAGAGAGGGCGAACGAGAGGAAGGAGATGGAAGAGCAGCACTGCGGGTGAATATATGCGCTCCTGGTGATGATTACCCTCCAAGTAATTAGTTTTTAAATCAGGCAGACGTTTCAGGAACTACTCGCTTTAATTATTTATACTCCCTTTTATTCCCATTATTTACAGTCATCCTCTCGGAAAGGGAGACGCTCTCCGGCTCGGGCTGTTCAGGCTGACCCAAACCTTCCTCGAGGCTGGCCCGGCTGCAGGGCCTCTCCTACGGAACAAGCCCAACTTCCAGCCAGGAAAAGAAACGAGCCACCCAGCACCAGAGCCAGCCTGGGTCAGGGGGTTCCCTGGGCTTTTAGGTGGCAGCATGAACCAGAGCAGACGCGGCCTCAACACCAGGTACCGCACAGTGCCCTGCGCCGCTCAGCAATTAAACTCTCACTCCTCTTCCTTTCCCTCATTTGCGCAAGCGAGGCCGCTCAAGAAGCCCAGAGCGCGAGGCCGTCGCTGCCAGGCGCAGCAGCGCGGGGCGGATTCCCCTCGGAGGCAGCCCGGGAAGGGCCAGCAGCAGCGCCCGGGACGGGGCCGGCGCCCATGGGCCCCAGCGACCTGGCTCTGGTGGGCACCATGCACCCAGCCCGGCTGCTCTGGGCATTCAAGTGTTAGGGAAGGAAAGAAGATGCTTGAGCTGCGTGGGGAGGGTCCCATTCACTGAGCTAGTCCCATAAACAGGTCTTTGACGCAGGATCGCTCCTCCTTTGGGCTGAAGTATTCCGTGTTTCTCAGCACGGGTATTTTCCTCCCCTCCCCTCCTCAGGCACTGCCCTGATCTCAGCCTGGCGCCAGCAGAGCTGCTGCCCGCGGCGCCCAGCCCTCGGGGGACACTGCAGCACCCGCCTGCCCTGCTGCTGCATGTCCGGGTTTTAGCCCATATCCAAGGAAAATGGCCAAGAGGACACCAGTGAAGGGAAACCTGCAACAGGGAAGCCCGCTGTGGACTTGCACGGAAGCACAGCCTGTGATCCGTGCCCTGAGTTTGCCTGGGCTCTTTGCCTCTCGGGAATGCCATCCTTAACTCAGGTTCTTGCTGCGTTACAGGGGCCAGAGGCCTCTGCCGTCACTCCCTGCTGCTTTGCAGCAAAGAGGCTCGCTGGGCAGAAGGGAAGATGTGAGGAACGCTCCAACCAAAGCAAGTCTGTCAGCACAGGGTGCGTGGCTGGGCAGCACCGGGAAGGGGAAAAAAGCATCAGTAAGAAGAGATTTAGCACTGGGATGAAGTAGGTTTGTGGACAAACTGGATATCTCACACTTAAAGTCTTGTTTCCTCCACTCTGAAATCCCAAGTGACAGCAAAGGGGAATAAAATGTGCATGAACCTGCCCTGTCCTCTGCCTACCTGCAGGAAAGCCACACGGCTCAGTTCTGGTCTCAAATCTGCAGCCCTTGGCCACCCCTGCAGGACTCAGGAGAGCATCGGTCACACCACAGCTGGGACCCCCACCCAAAAGAACGCACACATTTCCAAACAGGCCTCCTTCTATTTGCATTTGAAACATTTATTTTGGGAAATACATATTAAACACTATTATTTATACAAAAAATGGACTAAATTTGTCATAATGCTTATAACCCCCCAAAAGGCCATTTTAATAGATCTGCATGTCTTTTTTAAAATTGTATTATTTTTTTTTTCTTCAAAAAAAAAAAATCAGGTTATAAAGGTAAAAGCGGCATGTCTTGCTTGGCCCAGCTTGAGATATTAACTAGGGGAAAAAAAAAATTAAGATGACATTTGCAGAAGTGCCTCTGCCTCACACACAAGATTTTCTCCCCCTAATAGTTTTTTTAAACACTTGAAATATATATTTTTTCCGTTAATACACTTTCTGTTTGTTTTTGCTAAAATATAGCAAGTCAGCAAGTAAATATTTGTTCTTCCTCAACAGCTCTGTAATGATTCCTATGTGCTGTTGAGGAGGGGAAAAACACTGGAGTTGAGGGGCAAGCAGGCTCGCCCTGCAAGGCAAAGGAGCTCACACCATCGCACGAGCTTGCACGAGCCTGTCCTGGGGATCTGCCTGCTTTTAAAGGACGAAGCAGATGGGATCAGAACCGCTCGCATGGAGCACGTGAAGAGCAGGAGGTCCTGGGAACCACCCGATGGCCGGGGGCTCGAACATGCAGGGCTCGGTCTGCGCGTGCACGGGAGGGCTGGCCAAATTAGGGAGCTCGTTACATACGTACACAGCACACGTGGGAATAAAAAAAAAAAAAAGATTAAAAAAAACAAACGAAAGAAACCCAAACAGCCGCCTCTGACTTCCTGAAAAGCCCCATTAGGTTGCACAGGATGAGAGACTCCTGTTTCCTACCACTGCTTTGTGGAGACGTCCCCTTCTCAGCCCCCTTCGCACAAACATACTCTGAGCCTTCGACAGAAAAAAAAAACCCTTTCCAAATGAAAAATAAATATACAAGCTTCCCAGGAAACCAGCCGAATCTGTGGTCCCAAATGCGAGTGACAGGGAAGAGGAGTCTCTATAAAATTCACCACCTGGATGAGCATTTTCTGGACTGCAAGGACAAACTACGAAGCCCTCCCTCTCCCCATCCTTCCCCAACTATTGCATGGGGAACAGTCTCAAAAGGCACTTCTCCCAAAGCAGGTAGCTCTGCCTGGCCGTGATGCGGTGACAGGCGACTTAACGCCTAAACACCCCCAGTTTATTGCATGAAGGCAGGGAAGGGGGCCGGGGTGAGGGGCTGGCTGCTCCTGGAGGGCTGGAGAGGGCTTGGGAGGAGGAGGAGGAGGAGGCAGGAGACAAGTATGTCACCATCTTGCTCTCTTCATCTCACCGTACCTTGCTTCTGAAGGTTACATCCACTCGACGCAACCCTTCCCTTCAACGGACGGAGAAGAAAACGGCAAAGCCGCGGGAGAAAAAATAAAAATAAAAATAAAAAAATAATAATAATAAAAAAAAGGAGGACTCGGCCTTTGGCAAATTCACCCGCTTCCCACAGCCTCGGCACAACAGGCAGGAGCTTATCCAAGAGCTTCCCTCTGCCGCCGGGCTCGTCGCGGGCGGCAGAAGCCGGGGCGGGCGGCGAGAGGCTCTCCCCGGCCCCGGGAGCGGCGCTGGAGAAGGGAGCGAGCCCCGCGCGGCCGCTGCCCCCGCGCCCCGAGAGCCGGCCCGGGCCCGGGGGACGCGCGGCGGCGGCGGAGGAGGAGGAGGAGGAGGAGGAAGGCCAGGCAGGCGGCGCGGGGCCCCACGAGATGCGGCGCCTGGTTATTTGGTCAGTTAACATTGGCACTGGGTGGGGGGTGGAGAAGAAGGGACAGTGGCAGAGGATTTATATAAAAATAAAGGGGGGGACAGAGGAGGGGGGAGATAGCGAGCGTGCGCGAGCAAGGTCCTGGCTACAGAGCGGGACGGTTACATTTCGTTAGCCACCAGCTCTTTGTCGGCCACGCCGTTGGAGAGCGAGCTCTGGCCCTCGTTCAGCCTCTTCACCCTGTAGGCTTCAAAGTGGATGTTGCTGGTAATATCCTTTATGTTCTGCATGTGTGTCCTGCAGGAAAGAGAAGACACCGGGGCAGTTACATCTCCCTGCGCACACGGAGCAGGTCCAGCCGGCACCACCTCCCCCACTCCAACCCAACTGGCAGCTTGCACCCCAAAACATCTGCTTGCCAGCACCCTTGACAACCCGAATTGGAGGGAAGCAGAGCAATCAGAGAAGACTTCAGCGGTGCCAACAGCCTGTGTGTTTGGTGCAAGAGGAGCTCTGCTACCTAAGACCTCCCTTGCTCAGCAACATATCTCAGACAAGTCCCCTTGAGCGGGGCTTGCGCAGGGACTGCTGCTATCACAGAGGGAGAGCGAAGCAGCCGCCTGCTTCAGGCTGGGCTCTCGCCTTTGTTTTGATGTCCCCTGGTGCCCAAGGGTTCTGCGGACACAGGAGCAGTGCCACCAACCTGATGAGGAGGTCCCGCAGGTAGGCGAACTCACAGTGTGTCGTATTCTCCACTGGTGGGGAAGAGAGAGAAAACCATCAGCATACGGCGTGCCCACCACGGCACACGAGCAGCACAAGTATGGGCAGGAAGAGCCCTGTGGGGAGTCACACTGGTGTATGACACAAGTTCCACTTCTCCTGCTGTCCTCTAAACAAGGGAGCTCTCTGCAGCATCCCCCATCTACGGTTTGGTCACCAAGGCAAGCTCCAGTGGTCACCAAGGCAAGCAGAAAGAGCGAACCATTTCCAGAGATATTTGAAGGGAAAGGGGAAGGTGAGCTCTGCAGCAAGCATGACTCAAAAAAATTCATTTTTAGCTTCACCATGAGCATCCTTTGACATCCTGAGCTTGTCTCTGGCTCTGCTTCCCCATGCTGCCTGCTGCACGGAATAACGTGACCTCTCACTGACAGAAGCGCGACTGCTCTCTCAACGGGGCGTAGGAGGAGAAGATTGTTTACAAAAAGTGGGAGAAAAGCACGGGGCCTTGCTCTATCACAGTCAGTAACACAGCTCTCAGTTTTTCAGGCATTTGCATTTACAGAGTCAATTCCCTTTTATGTTGTGTCCCTTCCCCAGCCCCAGTCTTGAACGTAACGCAAAAATAACACGACAAAAAAAACAATATTTTGCAAAGACTGCCAGCAACCCCTGCGGGGCTCTGGGTCTCCTGGTGCTCAGGATGCCACTCACTCTAAAGGCGAGCAGCTTTTCTTAAGTTACACCAGAACCCAACAAACTCGGAGCTTCCAAGGAGAGAGCACAAGAGGGCAGCAGAGCTTTAAAATACATGGATTTTTCCTAGTATCTTTGTTTAGGCACTCATTCAAAATAGGATTCCTATAAAGAGACATAAAGGAGAGAAATCTGTAAGAAACAAAGGAGAAGAAGATAGAAGGGTGATGCTGAAGATATCTCTGCAGATTGCTCTAAGTCAGGGATGGGGGAAAATGTGTGGAAGAACTAGAGCCATGAACCTTCATCTAGCCATTAAACTGTGATTTAAAACAGGGGGAAGAAAAAGGAAGATGCTAATGTGATGAAGAGGGCAGAGGCTCCACAAAGAGCACTGGTGAAGTGCATGGTGTGATGTGCAGAGAACCACAGATGCCAGGAAAACGCTTTGTTCTAGACCTGAGACATAAAGACATCACCACTGAATTCATCTGCCCTCAAAATGCAGCCATCAGGCATTTAATTGTGTGACAAGCCCTGCGATGGAAACATCAAAGCAGAGATGAGAAACAGAAGCATCATGCTCTCACTCTGCTCAACAGCTGCCCCATAACTGTATGAAGAAACTCAGAAACCCCCTGCAGCAGCAGTGGGGTTGGCCAAATTGTTTTGAAGTTCCCCAAAACTAGGGAAGTAATTTTCTTTGGAGGGTCAAGGGCACGCACACCTAGTTTAGGGGCTCATCAACTTCTGTCAGGGCAGGAAAAGGGGTTGAGGAGGTAGGAAAACAAGGACAAGATACCTTCAATGGTGCCCCACTTGGTCTTCCTTCCAAGGATTCTTCTTCCGTTAACCTGGTACTCCTGGTCACTACCCACCACTGCAAATGGGATCATTTCCTGAGCAAAGAAAAGCACAAGTTACTTTTTCCTCCTGAAAAACAGTGAGGAAACCAAGATGGTGAGCGAGGTCTCACGTGAGGCAGCCTGCCACCAGCTGCTAGAGCAAGGACTTGAAGTCCGCAATGGATCCTGCTCCCACCAAGCTCTGGGCCCAGCCCCCTAAGTCTCGAGTGGTTTTCGGGGGACTTTCACGGGGTGATACAGTCGATGCCTGAGGCTCTTGAGCAGTGTTGCATCTCCCAGTTCTGATTTTCCCCTTAGTGACTGCTCCTAGCTCCATGAAGCTTTCAGATGAGATCAGATCAGACATGAGGAGCATGGGGCTCTGACAGAAGATGGCCGTTACCACTCATGTGCTGTATGCCCCACGCTCCCTCGCTCTGTACCCTTTGCACACTCAATTGTGCCTCAGTCCTGTCTACTCCTCTCCTTAACGCCTATTGTGCTTCAGTATTTCAAGCTCTCATATGAATTTAAGACCAGACTAAAGCCTGTCCAAGCCCAAAATGTCACTCTGATCTCCAGCTCCATCCTTGTTAGGCAGGGATGGGGGGGGCAGTACTTTTAGAAAGAAATACAGGTGCTTTCCAAGAGACCCCCAAGACATTACAGGTGATTAGGAGCTGCAGGCCCCCACCCAAACACACCCAAGCCACAAGACCACACACTAACCCGGAATTTCTCATTTACTAGCCGATCTTCCGAGTCTTCATCAAATTCCTTCTGAGGATACACGTCAATCCCATTGGCAAGAAGATCGGCTGTGATCTAGGAGAGGAAGGGCAGAGAACCACATGAATGAGACACACGGGAAGCAGGAACCTTCAGAGCAGCAGTACCCCCGATACAGCGTTTGCCTCCAGCGAAGCCACGAGGACACAGGAACCAGCCTGCCAGCCCCATGCACTACTAGAAGGTTGGACAGCCAAGCAGTAATATTGTCCCTTTCCTTCCTTAACAGTGCCCACCTGGAGGACATGGACCCATGTTCAACTACTAGCCACCTATCAAGTGCTTGCCCTTGACGAGTGGAATGAGGAGAGGATCTTGCAGAGTGAGATGATGTTACAAGAACCGGGCTCTGCTTTTGCACTGAGAAAACAATAGGAAATTAAAAGCTGCAGTGAACAATAGGGAATGTAGCTGCCAGGCATGTGGTACTGGACCCAACATTAAGAAGCTGCTTTCCAGAAGTCACAGCAGAGCGTGGTCCAAAGGGTACAAGCACACAGGCAGCTCCGAGGATATCACCTCCATGGAAAAGGGAACCAGAGATGGGGGAAACACATCCTGCTGAAATTCAACTCCTGGGTGGCGACTTGGCAAAGGCAGCACCAGTAACACGTGGTCCTCAAAGGAAGCGCCAAACCTGAATCCGTACCCACGTGCCAGCTCCCATTGCTTCCTCGGGCAGTGCATTCCTCCACGTAGGCCCTACATTCCCAGGTGGCAAAGGAGATGTATCCACACCAAAGAAACCCCCCACGCCAAGCTGCTCAGCCCACACTAAGCCCCTGTACCACTTGAAAGGGAACAACCCAACATGAGCCAACTCCGCAGGGCATGGGATTCCATTTGCCATGCTGGCATTGGCCAGGAAGAACCCAAGGCAGCAAACAGGCAGATTAATGCTCCACGTGACTTACCCAGCTCGATCCAAACCCAGAAACTAAAATTCCCATCCCAGCTGGTGCTGGATTGGATCGATTACTTGCTTTCTGATTTGCACCAGGAGTCGATCTGGAGCCGAGTTTACCAAGGAGGAGCCCCTTGCAGAGGGGACAGAGCCCACGAGCCAGCGTGGCTACGTTCCCCCTCCACCTGGGGAGCATTTCAGTGCTGTTTACAATCTGTAACGTATCTAGAGATGGGGCAAGGTCACTCTGCCTGGGCCTGGGTCACAGGCTGCTCTGTGTCGCCACCCGCACCCAGTTGGCAAGCCCAGGAGAGCAGAGGGCACCGCTCAGGGTCCTGCTGTGGTCGAGACCCACTTCTGCTGCTCCAACCAGCAACCAGTAACTGCTGGGCCAAGGAGCCAGATGGATTCTCCTGCAGCATCAGCAACACTGTCAGCACCATTCCCGCAGCATGATCTTCTATTACATGGATGATATCAGAGGCAGAGCGTGCCCAGTTGGAGCTTTAGGCTCCAGACCGACTCCGGAGTTCCAGCAGCCTGGCAGGCTGACAGACACACAGGTCTCCACGCGAACACACGCGCTTGCAGCCCCAAAGGGAGCAGGCAGCCTGGAAAAGCCATCGAAGAGCCCACGGCACCTTGGGCTGACACCTCTCGCACCTCTTCAGCCCCCAGCCCTCCTTCCTCCCTTCCTCCGGCACCAGCTCCTCGCACAGCTCTCCGTGAGCAGGCTGGCACGCTCCTCAAGCCCGGTCTGGATTAAGGCTCGGCTCCATTTCCAAGAATCTCTTGGCTCACTGTGGAGGGAACTGCTTGCAGACTTGGGATAGCCCTCCAAACCAGACTGGGTATTGCAGTTCAGTACCCGGGTTTTTAAGAAAAGGGAAGACACTAAAATGAGCTCAAGCCCATCAAGGTTCCCCCTCACAGGAAGAGAAGCTCATGGCTCTTCTGTATGGACACATGGAATAACGTTGCCTCCAGACGCTTGCACTGTGCATCCCTAACGGAGGTGGCCCTTCAAAATGCCCTTTCAGCGGAGCCGCCTCCACCCTTTCCCCTTGCCTCCCATCTCTGGTCGAAGCAGAGATGTGCAGGAAGCAAATTCCTGACCTCCGAGAGCTCAAAGGGACAGCAGAGTGTGGGACGTCCGAGAGCCAGAGGCCCAGCACAGCTTATCTCCCTTTACTGCCTCACACACCAAGAAATGGAGCCTGCTGAGGTTAACTCCATCCTGCTCAGGGCCAGCAGCTACACACAGGCTTGCTCCTGTTGGGGCTCTGCACCTCAGCACGGGGCTGGAGCACCACAGCCCTGGCAATCCTCTCTGCCATGAGCACCCGCTGCTCAGGACTCACTGCACTGCACAGAGATACTCAGGGAGAGCTGGCTGGGTGAGGTGCATGGGCAAAACCCACCCTATTCCTGCTCAAAAATGCAATTCAGACGCTCAGAACAGCAGCCCAAGAGGCTTTTGGTGACTTGCTTGTTTGTGCAGCAAGCGCTGAGGCCGTCGTGCCTGCAGCCACAGCACCAGTTACGGCAACGGGTTTCCAGTCCTCGCCAAAACCCAGGGCGAGACGTCGCTGCCCCTCAGCAGCAGCGGGCACGAAAACCAGGTGCCCTGCTGTGCATCTGGACAGGCCCTCCCGGGCTCCCCACCAACGGCACCAGGGCAGTCTCATGGTGTTCCCGAGAACTCTCGCCCAGCCGAGCTCAGCAAACACACACACTTTTGCCTGCTTACTGTATCGGTGTAAAGAAGGGTTTTCCAGGCTCTCTGCGCAACACCCTCCGCTCCCCCCCAATAATAAAAACCAGCCTCAACATCATCACCACAACAACAAAGGAGGCAGCAGAAACAGGCCCCAAGACTAAGAGTGCAAAATTCATCCTGCACTGACAGCGATCCAAGAGAAACACAAGGAACTGCTTGGAGTGAAGGCCCTTCCTGCTGCCACATGGGATCACTCAGAGCTGCAGCCGGAGGAATGCGCCGGGCTCCCGGCCAGGCGCTCGGCTCCGCGGAGCTGCGGGGCGAAGGCAGGGGGAGAGCGGGGCTGGGGGAGGCACGGCCCTTACCCTTTGCTTGAAGTAGTCCCTCTCCTCCAGCGTGAGCGTGTCGGCTTTCGCGATCACCGGCACGATGTTGACCACCTTGCTGAGGCGCTTCATGAACTCGATGTCCAGCGGCCGGAGCCTGCGGAGCACACAGGGGAAGGGGAATCGTGAGCGGCTCGTGAGGACCCGCGAGCCCCCAGCAAAGAGAGGGCGCTCAGAGGCTGCACGCAGATGGGGAATCGTTTTCTTTCAGAGAGGAAAAGTAAAGACATTTTCCTAAAAGCACGGCTGCACACGCCTGCCTTGCACAAGCGGCTTGCAGACACCCATGTAAAACGCCCCGTGCTCTCGTTTCAAGGCCACATGCTGGATCCAGCCTTGCAAACTCCTGTGAGGCAGGAGAGAGTTTTTATGTCTGGACGGATGCTCTGCCACCCAAGATGACAGGACCTTGCCCAGGGCTACGCGAGCCCTTGGCAGAGCAGGGAGCAGAGCTTGGGCATCGGTGGCTGCAGGACAGGCCGCCCATGACACGCACCCTGGATCAGGAATCTGAAGAGCAACCATGGTACAAAGCCTTCTCCAGGTTTGAGCTGGAGGCCACATGCAGGCACACAGCGCCTGGGGACACGCGGGACGGGCACGACACGGCTACAGGTCGCTGTTGCTGCTCCAGCACGTTCCCGCACCGAGCACCAACCTGCTGCCATGCACAAGCCAGGACTTCACCTCCTATCCGCTGCTCCAGCTTCAAAGAGGCTCTGTTAATTCTCAAACTGATCACATGGCACAAAGAGACTCTGCTCGTTCCAGAGGGCAAAAAGAGTCAGAAAATTTCTACAACGAAAGTCTCAGCAGACCAGAGCTGCAGAGATTGCATAACCCGAGGAAGCAGCGGCTCAGCAAACGCCTTCCTGTTGAAGGCTCCTGCTGGCAGCACGTACACGACCTCCAGTGCCACTCTCCTTGCTGCTCCTCTGGGCTGCAACTCAGCTTCTCGCAGCTGCGGAGGCCCAGGGGGCTGCCCATGACCCCACCTTGCTCCTCAAGCCCTCCATCCTCCCCGAAGGTCTTTTTGTTGCTGGTGGTCCCTGAGTTAGCGTGATGGAAGCCTGCCTGGGGATGCTTCCCACGTGCTGCAGTCCCCCCAGCACGGCTCCCGGGGTCCCAGGCAGCGAGCTGGGCAAGCGCCAGCCTAAAAAGGGAAACGCTGAGGTCCTGAGCAGAGGCTGTCAGCTTTAGCAGCCCACAACACAGCTGGCAAGGGGTGCCAGCAGGACACGACCTCATTTATCCTTCGGGAACTAGGACAGAGAGAGGAAAGTCACTTTTCAGAGCTATAAACTGAAATCGCAGAGTTAGGGCCAATTGCAGAGTTAGGTCAGCCTCATTTGCAAAACAGAGGCCTGCGTAACCCAGGAACAAAGATGATATAAATGGGATGAAAGATAAGATATAATCACCCAATTAAAATGGGGTCCAGCCGGGTGCCGGCGCGGCGCTGCCCGGGGGGAACACGGGAGCCGAGCATCTCCCGGCTGCTCCGAGGCAGATCCCGGCAGGGCTCATCCGCCTCCTCCCCCGTCAAATCCACTCCCCGCTCAGGCCCGGGGCTGGCTCCGCGCCCACCTTTCCCGGCGGGCCCGCACGGAACCTTCTCCGGGAGCTGCTGGGAGCTGGGCAAGCAGCTCGGCCAGCACGAGGGCAAACAAGCTGCTAACACGAATGCGGGAGTCACCAATCGCCCACGGCTCCAGGAACAAAACATTGGGGCTATTTAAATAAATATATAAATAAATAAAGGGAATAAAGCACACAAGGAAACCCCCGTGGACACATCTAAGCAGAGTGCTGCTGGCAAACATTGTTTGGAGCTCTGCATAATGTATTTCCCAGACCTCCAAGGAAGCAATGCGCTTATATTCCTTTCCCAGCAGATTTCCCCCCCCCGCTTTCTCTTTGCTATTTTCAAAGATTTTTTCCCCTTTAAAAGCCTCTTCCCCATGCAGACTGTGTTCCTGATTCTTTCATCAGCTTTTCTTTAAAGTGAAGACCAGGACGCAGAGGTGGCCCATGCAGATGGCTCGACAATCAACCAGGCATTTGCATTTTGGCATGGACTGCTGCCCAAGAACCCCGTTTCCAAGCCCTCAGTGATAGCTGGAGGATGCCAGAGGTTCCCTGCACGCGTGACAGCAGCGTACGAAGCCATTCCCAGCCCGCAGCCTCCTTGCTCCATGTCCACAAACACCAACCACCTCCCTGGTGCTCTGCAAGAACAGCGCCGCTAGAGGTAACCCCAGCATCTCTTGGGAATTGGGCACTCGGGCAAATAGAGCTGCCAAGGAGGGTTTGAAGGTGATGAAGAAGTACCAGAAAACTGTTCCCAGGACACAACTGGCACTAACAGCAGCAAGGCTACAACACAAAACAGAGGACTTTGGCACAAGCAAGCCAGTAAGCGGGTGGCAGCCACAGACAGGTCCTCAGGGTATTTCAGAGCACAAAAATCAGCAGCCCCAGTTAAATTACTTGAAAAACAATTCCCAGCAATCAAAGCCAACAGCCTTTTTCCCCTGTACATGCTTTATCCCCCGGATGGGAAGGCTTGCACCAGCAAGTACAGCGCCCAGGCCACCCGTTCTCCTTCCAGGCCTGCGGGCAGCGCTGGAGGCCGCGGGGCCGCTGCAGGATGCGGAGCTCGGGGGTCCCTGCGTGACGTTCAGGTCTTGCCATGGGCCTTGAAGAACTGCCCATCCCTGACCCGCCGATCCTCGGCTTACAGAGGGACCAGGACCACAGACACATGGAGGGGGTTGGCACTGGGATCCAGGTGCTGAACCCCAACTGCTCTCCCGAGCAATATCACTCTTCTATCGGCAAAGGGGAAGGAAAGCAAGGACTCAACCAAGGAGCAAACTGCACTGATCTGACTGCTTTACCCATTTCTCGATATTCCACTAAGTCCTGACGCTAAGCCCCCTTTTAAACGCTTGCCACGGGTTGAAGAATCCCTAAGAGGAGGGGAGGAGCTGCTGGAAGCAGCAAGAGCTCCAGCCCATCCTGGCCCGTTCCAGGTGCTCCCTTTCCCCTCTTCCTCAGGGTCTGGGGAATCCAGCCTGGGTTGGCACATGTTATTCCCACATAACCACAGCATGGAGAGTATCTGAGCGGAGGCTCATGCCTGCTGGCTCCTTTGAAATGCCATTATAAGAATAAAAATTGCAAGCTGAAGAGTTATTTCCTTCTGGTTAAGCCCCAGATCCAGCTAGCAGCAAGAATTTGAGCCCTGCATTAAGCAAATGCCAGCGAGCACCCAGGAGCCACCCGAGGCCCAGCCCGGGAGCTGTGGCTCTGCTGCAGGGCTGCGAGCCAGGCGGGAATCCTGGGGGTCAGGAGCAGCGAAAGGAGCAGAGGGCATCAGGGCATCAAGCAGCAGCTCTGCTGTGCCCAGAGAACAGGGCTGCCAAGAAAGACGGGGCAGGATTTCAGAGAGAGGCACTCACGGGGGTCACCACGGTGGAGGTTTTACAGCGGTGCTACAAGGAGGACAGAGCGTGTGACAGGGAACTTCCCAGCTGATCAACCCTCCAGCCGCGTGAGGCCCCACGGCCAGCCCGAAACGGAGCCGTGAGCCCACGGGGAAAGGGGAAAGCCCCCCTGGAGGCAGCACAACAGTGTCCTGGGCTGCACGGCGCTGGTGCCCCCATCCTCGCATGGGTGCTCCGAGCTCCACTGATTTTTGGTGCCCATGGGGGCTGTGTCTGTACCGAGCGCTGAATGCAGCCAGCACTGGGGATCAGGGCAAGGTTGGATGGCTGGCCGGGATCAAGGCCAGCACATGCATGGGTGTCACCGGGACCCTGCAGGACCCTCAGCTTGGCCTGGCTTGGTGAGCGTGCCCCTAGCAAAGGTCCTTAGGGCACCAAGTACCTCAGAGCACCTTTTCCAAGCACGTTCCCCACTTACTCATGGAGAAGCACAGGATTAAGGACCTCTGCTCCCTTCTCTTTGCCCTTTTGCAAGGGACCACTGATTGCATCCGCAGAGGCACAAAGCCTGCGTTAAACACCATGGGCTTCCCGTGTGAAACTGCCTCCCAAGCCCCGTCTCTCCAAAAGGATGCCCCTCCGCTGCAGTAAGAGCGGTGCAGGTCTTTCATTCACATCCACAGACCAGGGGCAGCACTAGAGAAAGCTTGTTCAGGGAGATGAGAGACACTGTCCACTTTGCAAGGGGGCAGGGAAACCCCAGCACTTGCTTGAGCTCTCACAGAAACAACATTTCCCAACAAATTCTTCCTCCCAGGGAGCCTTTTCCACTCTATTGGGTTTCTCAGCTTCCCTAAAACCTCACTTCCTTCAGTTTATCCCTAAGCCCACTGCAAGAGGGGACTGGGGAGCCAGGTGCCCGCTCTACCACATGGGCAGGGATGGGCAGCCCTGCGAGCAGCGCGAGCCGCGGCCCCAGCCAGGGCATCCGGCCCCGCGCGGCTCCGGGAAGGGAGCGACCGCTCGGCAGCAACGGCCCCGACAGCAGGGCTGCCTCTCCTATTGGAAACACATGTTGTTTGGAGAGGGGGAAGCAACGCAGCTGAGCCTGCAGGCAGCTCTCGCTAGCCCGAGAGGCGGCGGGTGAGAGAAAGCAGAATGCGCCGCTGGGGAGGCGCGGGCAGGGGCCGGGCCAGCTGCTGCACAGCGGCGCCTGCCCCACATACGTGACGGCCACACACGCCACGAGGGCTGGGGCAGAGCTGGGTGCCCCGCGAGCGGAGCTGCTGCTCGGCCGCAGAGCTCCCGCAGGGACGCGCGCTGCCCGCCGCGGCGCCGGCTGCTCGCGAGAGATAAATGCCTGGACCTTGTGGCCCACGGAGATGGCACTTTACCTGCTCTACTAGATGCTAAGATGCTGCTGAGCATCCTGCTCATTCCCCTGAGAGGAGACTTTAAAGCCTCATCCACACAAATAAGCTTAGCTTGTTACACAAGAATGGCATAACTGGCCCATGCAGTCATCTTATTCCAATGAGGAATGCATTTTTGGTCTACCCACTGACACAAGCAAAATATTCTTTTGGAATAAAGTTCTACACAGGGAACAGAAAAAAAAAAAAACCTGAACTTAATACAATTCTGGCAGTTTAAATTTACTTTTAAAAACAAAGAAATCCCCGTGCAGACAAGGCCAGAAGTGGAAGGAAGTGACACCAATCAAAAGGAAACTCAGGCCTCATTTTATGCTATGATACTTCAAGTCAGATTTTTAAAGATATTTTATGTGCCCAAGATACTCATTGAGAGCTACAAGTCAAAACAAAACAAAACATCTGGCTCTTCGATGCTGTCATGTGAGAAGTGCCAGAGACAGGAAAGCTCTGCATGGTATAACCGGCATCAAAATCTATCAAATACTCTTAAACAGCTTGGATGTTTGTTTGCTCTGTATAATAGCTCTAGAACAACTGGTTTCTTCCCCTACCATGGCAGCTTTGCAGGCAAATAAATATTTTCCCATCTGCAAAGGCGGCCTATCCATCAAATTCCAGAGCTCACTGACTGGTGTCCATCATTGGCCAAGTGAGCAACTTGGCTGCTTGCTTTGCCTTTGTCAGTCAGGTGAGGGAGGCTACTTAGAAGTCATAGAATGCTTAAGGTTGGAAGGGACCTCTGAGGTCATCTAGTCCACCCCCCCTGCACACGCAGGGTCACCTAGAACACATGGCACAGGCTGCATCTTGCCGGTTTTGAAGATCTCCAAAGAAGGAGACTCCACAACCTCTCTGGGCAGCCTGTTCCTGTGCTCTGTCACCCTCACTGTCAAGAAATGTTTCCTTAAGTTCCTGTGGAACTTAAGTCCTCCAAGAGAAGGGCAAATGCCAAGTTCTGCTTGGCATTTATAAAGCTATAGCAACTTTGCCCTGATCTTGCAGACTCTAGATGCAGAAGGCTATGGCTTTAGGAACAACAGGTTCCACTTGTGCAATTGTGGGGGACGGCATGCCCAGTTACCATGTTGCTCTTGATGATCCACAAGAGCACAAAAGACATCTCCAGATCTTAGACACTTCAGGCAGGGTGTTGTGAAGGACCTGAGCTCTTTCAAATCTCTACAGAGAGACAGGAAGATTTCTCTGATGAAGGATGATTCAGAGCAGCTAAGTTAGGTGAGCCCAAAAGTAGGACAGTGAAGCACACAGAATTTGAGCGGAGACAGGTCCTCAACCCCAACCTGGAGTAGAGATGTGCTCCAAAGAGAGCAGGTACGTACGAGTGGCCTGTGGCTGGGATGAAGTATATACAGCAGTGCACCCTGGTGTCTGGGATCCGTTTCTTCCGGTTAATGTTGATTTCCTCCTGCAGATACTTCTCGTACTGGTCATTGATGAACTTCATGATGGGCTGCCAGCTACAGAGAGACATAAACACATGACAGGGGGGTTATGTGAGAGATCTGGCCCCCCCGTAAGCATTCTGCAAAGCAGAGTCCTTGGAACAGAAGTATCTTACAGAATCCCACAGAAAAAAAACAACACCACACAGGGAATATTTTAGTTGCTATCAGCTCCCATTCATACAGCAACTGCAGGAAGCAGGAATCACAAAACCTCGTGTTCACCACTTGGCAACTCCTCACACTCCTTAAACCGGGGGAGTAGTGGATCTTGTTTACGCTCTCTTTTAAAGAACAAGTGCCTAGAAATTCCTCCCTTCTCTACTCCAGGAACAAGCTGCCTAAAAGCAGGACTGTTCCTCTCCCTAGCATGAGCACCTAGTGTGAGATGACAGCATCTAGGGGGCTCTGAAGAACCAACTACAGGGAAAGGAGCAGGAGATGTGAAGGTGTACAGGGTACCAAAGGAGACTTCCCAACTTTCCCAGCAGTAGAACCACAAGCACGCGTGGTCACGTCCATGTGAGCAACCCAACTGCGAGCAGTCTTGCAGAGGACAGCCCTGCTTTACTCCAGGAATACATTATGAAATGTAGAGAGAAAGCTGCTGTCCCAGAGACTTATTGCAGAATTTGGCCTTTAGGACCTGTGACCAGGGTCACGGGACCGGTCACCCCAGCGCAGCAGCTGATCCCCGCAGAAAACAAAGGCTGTCTCATGACAGAAACAGCAGGATGTTTGTGGACTCTAGCAGGGCTGTTATAGGGCTCTGCTGACAGTGCTATAGAGCACGGCACGGTGCTGTCTCTGAGGTGACAGGCTGGTTGGGAGGAAACAGCGTCATGCGGAGACCTGGCTGTCTCCCACCTCTCTTCCTGCCACCCACACCAACCTCTCTCGCCTTCTGCGGACAAGCAGCCCAGACAATGAGCCTAATGTGCTCTAGCCTAACATCGCTCCATGTCTCTCCAACACAGAGAGGGGTGGTGGTATCCTCAGAGTCCAAATCAAAGCCCGCAGACCTCCTGCTCAGCCTTCTCACCAGTTCTCATTGTTGATGTGGTCTCCAAAGCCCGGGGTGTCAATGACTGTCAGCTTCATGCGAACTCCCTTCTCTTCAATCTCTGAAACACACAAGCAGGGAGCAGCTTCATGAGACAAGAGCTGAGAGGCACTCGGGCCAAGCCTGCCCACCCAAAATCAGATGACAGATACAGCATCACACCTGCCCTGAGGCACAACCCCCACAACCACTTCAGTTGGCCCCTTCTGTTGTAGTTAAATCAACACTAATAAATAAAGGGCAAAGGTGATGAGCTTGCTTGGCCCAGTAAGCACCTCTGGATGGTTGAAGTCCCTTCAGACAAATGACAGGAGTGGAGGTTTCCAATCCCAGAAAGCCTCTAGAGAGACAAGGCCCCGCAGGACCAAATGCCACCAAGGGGCATCTGCAGGCACTCACCGTGAGTGATGGATTTTATTTCAATGGTCTTGGGGATCCGCTCCTCCGAAGTTGGCTGTACAGATTTCCGGCTGATTTTGGATTTAAAGAGTGTGTTGATTAATGTGGATTTCCCCAAACCACTCTGACCTGGAAAACAGCAGGATAAATAGCAGTCAGCCCTAACCCATTCCCAGGGCGCCTTTTAAGGGAACGGCTCAGCTGATGGGACCTCCATGTCCCCTGTACCAGGAGAGAATCAGCCCACAGCAGTTCTGCACGGGTGAAGGCAAAAGGTGCAACTGTGAAAGAAATTGTTAACCACTGGCATAAGGGGACAGCAAGGACAACCACATTGGGGACACGGGCAGGGGGACTCCTTAAGCATCCTGCCAGGCCCCCATTACAAGGGGCTAGTCAGGATGGGGTTAATGAAACAACCCAACCACTTGCAGGGGGATCACAAAGGAATAAATTAACCCCCAGGATTGACTGGCTCTTTCAGCAAAGACACAAAGCAACTGCCCGAGCCCAGCAGGAGGCCTGATTTAATGGGTCACCAGGCAAGGAGCCTCTTAAGAGCAGGGCAGCACCAGCAAAGTCTGTTTGAATCAGTGTCTGAGAAGGAAGAGCGGACTGGAGCCGTGCAAAGCCCTGGGAGAGGCGCGGCCAAGGAGCACAGTCCCACGGGGACGGCACGGCCGGACCCTCGGCCCCAAGGTCCCGCCGCTGCAGGCACCCAGGGCAGGTTCCCCAGGGGGCTGGGGTGAAAAGCTGCTGTGCAGGGTCCTCAGCTGGACCACCCAGCCGCAGGCAGCAGGAGCCGCACGTCACCCACGCCTGTGGCCGCAACCTCCCTCGCTTCTGCGATCAGGCCATCCAGGCAGCTCTGGACTGGCAGCATCCTTGGGTCAACGAAGCCCTATTAAGTGCACTCAGTTCTACAATTTCTGAGAAAAACAGCATCTAGAGAGAAACATCTTGGCGCTTCACAGTCCAGAGCAGAGCAGGAAGGACATTGTCAGCGCCCACATCTCCAGAGCTGCTGTCCCGCGAGCTCCAAGGGGAACCTCTGCAAAGAAAGCAGAGCAATCGCTCCAAAGCTGGAGAGCAGATGCTTGGCTGCAGGGCTGAATCCTCCTGAGCTCTGCTGTCAGTGCGAAGCTCCTGGGGGAGTCCCTGCCATCCATCATGGAATCACCATCCCCAGAACTGGAGCATTTGGGCATGTGAGATAAAACCGGATCCGGCTCCAGAGCACAGCAAGGCTTTCGCTTACGACCTCCAACAGAGCTGAGCAAAGGCACCAAAAGTTAAACCCGGGGCCTCCAACTGCACCTCCTTTAGCATCAAGCATCAACTTTTGGCACCGGCTCCCAGCGCTGTTGTAACGCGGGAGGTTAAATCCGCCCGCTCCCACTTCAGCGATCGTGCAGCAATTAAACGCAGAGTTTACAACCCGGCCACAACCCCGCGCCCCATCCCAGAGCTTTGCAACGCAGCGCAGGAAAACCCTCTTCGTCAGCAACTATCGCAGCTGCGTCGCAAGAGAAACAGATGGACGAGGCCGGGGCCAAGCACTCCAGCCCTGCAGAAACGCGGGGCGAAGCCTCGGGCGGCCCGCGAGCCCCCTCTGCTCGCAGGCAGGGAGAGCGGGAACGAGGGTGACCCGCGGCTGGCACCCGCGGCAGGCGCCTCGGCCCTGCCTGTGCCAGCGGCCGAGCTGCCAGGGGAGCAGAGCGGGGAGCAGAGCGGGGAGCAGAGCGGGGAGCCGTGGGCGGCTGTGCGGCGAGTGTCGCGGCTGCCCCATGGTCTCCGGGCCCCTCGGTGACGCCGCAGCCCCCCAGCCCCTGTGCCCTGCGCTGCAGAGCGGCACGAGCTTCCAGGAAAGAGCCAGCCCCAGGCCTGGAGGGCTGAGCGCTGCACGGCTGGGCGCCTGAACGCCACGGATCTGGAGCTTGAGTTGCATGGGAATAAAAGGGTCAGGTGAATCCCACACGGAGAGCTCATCTCCCTGCAGCTCCTGGGGACTGCCAGTGTGGTCACCCACCACACGGCGCCCAACACCGCGGAGCCCCTGGCAGCCCATCCAGGGGGAACATCCCTCGTGGTTCCCGCTGGCTCCTGCCACCGCCCCCGTCCCACCCGCAGCTCCAGGGAGGCTCGACTTGTTTGTGCTGCCACGAATTCCGCAGCGTGTAAACAGCCAGGCACCACCCAGGGCGCGCGGCCGCGTCCCGGCCAGGCACCCGCGGCGCCCTCGCAAGCAGCTCCAGGGAAGGCTGGAGTCGGGAGGCCGGGATGTGCCCGGAGGAGGCAGCTGGAGGCCCCTCCGCTGCGGCAAGAGGGGGTTAATTAATGGGTGCCATTTCATCTGCAGCCCGAAGAACAAGGAGGCAGCCCTCCTCCCCGGGGAGGGCAGGGAAAGGGCTGCAGAGAGGCGCCTTTGTGAAAGGAGAAAGCTACAGGGACTTGCAAGAACTGGTTTCGCAGCGACCTGGTTTGCTGTAATCCCCTTGCTTGAGTCCTGTGGAGACCTGACCTCAAATCAGAGACCAATCTTTGCATGGCGGGGGGAAAGGGGGAAGAAAGAAGAAGGAGAAAAAAAAAGAAAAAAAAGCACAGGGATCATTGGGTGCTGATAGGAAGCTGCCACGTTGCATTTTTTAATTTCTATTGTTTCAGAATTAGCAAATTCTTTGCATTAGGCCCTCCTGCAACTCCAGCTCCTCTGTGCTCTTTATGGAGGCTCCTATATCCCGGGCACCTGTGACCCCAGGGCTGCTGCCCTGCACAACCCCTCACACGCGCAGGTGTCCCCTGCCTTGTCACCCCTCGCATGCAGCCACCCTTAGCAAGCGCCTCGTGCCCAGCGGCACAAGTCGGCACCGGCTCTCGGCGCCTGGTCCTGCCCGCCTCGCCAGGACGGCTCCAGTGCCGCACGCCAGCACTGCCCAGCGCAGCACCCAGCGCCCTGCGAGCGGGGACACGAGCGGCAACTCGAGCCCAGCCGGCGGGAAGGTGCCTGCCACGGGCCTCTTCCAAGCGCCTCCAGCAATAACCAGGCTCGTCCCAGCTCCCTGCAGCAGGATTTGCTGACTCCAGCACCGAAGCTGAACTGCTGTTTGCGAGGGGGACGCGCGTTGCCACGGAAGAGTCAAATAAACAGCTTGCTGAGCACATTTGCAGACAGCTGGACACGCACGGGACAACTCACCCACAACCATGATGTTGAACTCGAAGCCCTGCTTCATGGCTTTCCTCCTCATCTGCTCCAGGATGGCGTCTATGCCCACATAGCCGAAGTCCGCGGCGGGCTTCTCCGGCCGCGCCGGCGCCGCCTGCTTGGGGCCGGCGTCTCTGGGAGGCTCCGTCATGCTGGGCGCGTAGCTGGGAACGGCCTCGGGACCTGCGGACGGAGGCAGACGGAGTGGTGAGGGGCAGCCTGGCGCACCAGGAGCTGCCTGGAGCATCCGGAACGGGAATAAAGCGCGCGCTGTATCGCCGCTAACAACAACAGCCGGGCACGGAGCGGGACAGGGATGTGCCTTGGCTGCCGCTAACGCCCAATTCGGGCTTCCGCAGCTCCTTTTTTCCTGCTCTCTGCACGCATTGCAGAGAAAGTGGGAAAGTGAGCACGGAGCAGGTCCAGCCTCGCGGCTCCATCCCCCTCGCACCCCGAGCGGAGGGATGCGGCTCCGCAATCCCTCTGCAATTCCTCCCTTGTGGAACAATTGGGATGCTCCGCAAGGCCAGGAGTTTATTCGCACACGGGACGGAGCCTTTCAGCCAAGCCAGCCCTGTGCGGGTGCTGCTATTCAAGGCTCACGTATCTCCACTCCGTCCGTAGGGAACACGTATCCCGCTGCTCCTGCCACGACAATTGCAATGCCATCCTCATCCCGGGAATAAAAGCCTTGCAGCCACGTTTTGGGGAAGCGGGCGGCTTTTTGTCAAGCACCGAAATCTTCTGCATCTAGTGACATGTCTCCTCGCTTTGCCTGAAGTGCTGGAGATGCTGCTGTCCCCAGCTCACCTCTAGCTCTTACTGCTGCTCTACACCGAAAACTGGAAAGTGGCACAGCCACGAAACCCCGAAGGGCTTCACTGCTCCTTGCCTCTGCAGAGCTGAGGGTCTGGGGACACTGCTGATGTGCACAGGGCAAACCCAGCCCTGGGAATTTCCAAAGGGCCCGGACACTCGTCCCACGCACGAGGTGGCTGCAGAGCGTGGAGCTTCACCCGGCGCTTGGGCACTGCTGCCATTGAGCAGGCAGGTGCCTGGGGAGCCACCTGCCTCTTTTAGCACCTTCTTAAAGGAGAGTTGGGAACCACCTCTCCTATCTCCTTTGGGAACCGCACAGGTAACAGAGGCGGAAGCATCTGCTACTTGGAAGGAAGACCTGCAGTTACTACCAAGCGATGCCGCTTGACACGCAGGAGACATCCTGACACGGAGCACGCACAAACTCAGCCACATGGGCCCACCAGGTCCTTGCTGGAGCCGTGACACGGGCAGGGGAACCCAGCTCCTCTAATGCAGGCATGCAGGGAGAAGCTGGTGAGATTCTTATGAAAAGGCACTCATAGTAACCTCATCCCTGCAAGCTGATCACTGTCCAAACCCGTGGATCCGTCAGCCAGAGCAAACTCTATTTTACAGCTTTTTTGCAAGGCTTCGTAGGTCCCCGTTGCATTCCTGAAGGCAGGAACACAGACCTTCTCCCCTCACTTGTTCCCTCACTCCACTGTTATTTTTGGCCTTTTATGAGGTGCTACATGTTTTCCTCTCCTTCCCTCCAAAGGGCTTCGCGTGCAGGAGTGCAGCTGCTCTGGAGGGGCTACCTCCAAGCACAAACACATCACCGCTGCTGCACTGGCGAGCGCCTTGGACGCCGCGCCGGACCGGAGCCTGCACGGACGTGCGAGTAGGAAACCCTCATTTCCTGCAAGCAGAGCTCACTTCAACACGCTCACACGCAGGCCAAGCACATACATGCAAAAAAAAAAAAAAAAAAAAAAAACCCAATCCCAACCAGAATTCATCCTAAAGAGAGTTGAGTTAGGTTAAATGCTTCATTCTGACTGCCGAGCAGCGTCCAGGTGTGATCCGCAGGGAGCGGACGGGCCATCCCGGGCACGCACGGCGGCAACGCGCCGCCCCCGAGCTCCCGCCAGCCACTCGCACAGCTGGCAACACCTCCCCGCAAAGACGACAGGCCCGGCATGCCAGAGGTTTATCCATAGATCCCGAATTAGCACCGCTGCAAAGCGGCAAGGCCCAAGTGGGAAAAATTCCTAGATGCCACTAGAGAAACTAAATGACGTGGTGAGTGTGCAATCAGCAGCAGGAGCAGCAGGCTGTGCAACCACTCAGCTACTGCAGGCGCAGGGGGAGAACACCAAAAGCTGCCTATGCCTCCAAGTAGGGAGGTGCAACCTCAGCAAGGGGGCACGGGGCAGCCCGGGGAAGCTTCTCGCCAGCCCAGCACGGGGAGCTCGTGACCGCAGCCCCGGGCAAGCTAAATGCCACTGACATGAGCAGCGCTCATATTTGAGAAAAAAGAAAAAATAATAATAAAACACTTTGTAACTAGGGGAATCTGCATGATAACAAGGATGCCAAGAAGTCTAGTGCCCTTTGCAGAGTAGATTCATCACGTGTTGCAGCCAAAACATTTATTATCTCTTTAGCTTCCCGGCACTACAAGCAGCACAGGCAGAGCGCGTCTTGCCTTGGCCGGGAAGGACTCGAGCAGCCCGGGTGCTGCAATGGGTTTGCGCGAGGGCAGGCAGGACGCGGCCGCGCGCGGGACCTGCCGGGTGTCGGGACCGCTCTCGGCAGCCGCCTGTCGACAAGAGAAGGATCCCAGCCTGGAAACGGAGCGGGAGCGCGGCTGTTCCAGGGATGCGCTGCTGGGACCTCCTGCCGGGACAGAGCTGCCACGCTCCCCGCGGGGACCGTGCCAGAACCGCGGCACCTCCTGCGCCGGCGCTATCAACCCAGCCCCTCCGGAGCGCTACAAGAAGAGATGAATTAATAAACGTTTAAGACTCTAAAAGATACCCAGAAGGCCGCCAATCCCCTGGCAGCAGCAGGATAGGACCCCAAATGCCATTGCCATCACTTTGCCTTTGCACAGGGGCCGCTGCACAGCTGCAAACAGTGCGTGCCACTGCACCCGGCTCCTTCGCGCTTCCCTGCGGAGCGGATGGCTGGAGGCTGCCCTTGGGATGGCGGCACCAAGATGCTGCCCGATGGGGCTGCTCATTTCGCAGAACAGCGATGGAGATGCCAAAGACCATCCTGCCTCGTGGCTTCCGCGCTCCGACACGGTCCTGGACAAACAGAAGGCACGAGCCAAAGCGAGCTCGCCGTGGCGGAGCCAGTTCTCCATGCGGACCCTGGAGATGTGGGGAGCTCTGCACGGAGCACGCACAAACCCAAGGTTGCAGCACGGGCTCCTGGGTTCTTCCAACAGCTTTTAGTTACTTTTTGGAGACTTTGCATTCAATTTTGCAGAGCCACAAGTGCCTGGAAGATACACTGCAGATTACTGATGCGGGCACAATTCCCCCCTCCCTCCGTGCAGTGCTTTGTGTTGGACTGAACACAGCACGGGCTTCAGATTTGTTGGGTGTCCTTATGCTACGGTGGAGAGAAGATTCATAGCAGCAAACAACAGCATATCAAGGGCATGAAAACACAGCAGCTTCCCGGAGAGCTGAGCAGCCACAGATGTTTTCAAGAGAGCCCTGCTGACCAACTAACCTTTCAATTGCTGGGAGCAACAATCCTGCAAAATTATGACCATTGGGTGTAACAGAGATGTTTTTAGAACGAGAGAGAGAATTTATAGCTCCCAGTTAGCTACCGCAGATTGGCAAGGCTGCGGAGATGCAGCTCCCGGGTCCTTTCCAGGTCTCTCGCCAAGCTCACAGCGCTACCGCCGCTTCAGGCATCTCCCAAGCGCGGGGACACGGGGGGTTCGCAGCAACCCCAGGCACCAGCGCAGCCCAGCTGCTGCTGCAGCCTCCTCTGGTGAAGCAGGAGGCCGAGGGTTGGGGTGGAGCAGCTGGTGCTTCCCGGCACACGCTCCGATCCGCACTGCGGGATCACGCAGTGCCCCATGCGGCCGATCCCTCGGCTCCAACGGGGACGTGCGGGTACCAGTAACACCGGGACATGGCTTGGTCCAACCTGGACCTCGGGAAACTCGAGGGGAGTCAGCACAGCCGGGGCATGGGAAGAGGGCTCAGTGGGCACACAGGCTTCCCGAAGCCACTGCCAGCACAGGAGTGACGAGTGGTAACTAAGGAACATTTGCTATTATTTAATTGCAGTCATCTGACCTGGAGCTGGCAAAGCTCCTCCGAGCTGCAGTCCTTCTGCTCCTGGCTTCCGTCGGGGGCTCGCGGCCAGCTCAGCACCATCCACCCACTGGCCACGTTCCCTTCTTGGCTTGCAGATTTTCACTCACCAGGGCCAAGCCGGACAGCACCGAGAAACAGCAGAGGACACTGAACGACACTTCAGTCGGACAAATCAACCCAGGAGTTGCCAGAGAGGTGACCAGCAGGCTCCTGAGCGTGCAAGAATGGAGCAAAAAGCTTCATTCTGCATCTCTGCAGGCGGCCCTCCTTCAAAGCAGCCTGTACAAAGGCTGTCTTGGAGGAGCAAACGTGGAAGGAGAGTAGGTTTACTCGATGCAAGACCCAGGAACTCCCCTGCGCTGGACTCTGGTGCTTGCTGGCGTTTGGCAGCTAGCAGGGATTAAGGCAAAGCGTTTAACATGCAACGACTGCTCCGGAGCGGCACCCAGTGCAAAGCCTTTCACTCCCGGGGGCCGAGTTCGCTTTCAGAGCGATGCTGGCAGAAGAGGAACACCCCAGTCCTGCTCTAAACGCTGCAACACAAAGTCCCACGCGGACAGAGCAGCGAGTTGCAGGGCACAGATCCAGCCCAGAGACTATGCGCTGAACGCCCCAGCTCCCCGCACGTGCTTCCCGGCTCCGGAAAGGCTCATTTGCAGTTCCCCTCTCGCTCCCTTTCATTTACACCAGACAGAAGTTTTGCAAAGCGCTTCCCAGGCTCAGCTCAGGCCTCCCCTTGCAGCTTAACCCTTGTGCTGCCGCTGCCACCCTGGTCAGCGAGGGGCACGGAGCAGAGCACGGGCCCTGCTGCTGCCGCCTGCTGAGGGAGACCCGAGCCCCGAGGCTCGGCTTCGCTTCCACCTCCAGCCACCTCCCAGCACGAGCAAGCAAAACGTCAGGGATCACCAGGGAGGCGGCAGCAAAAGGCTGTTTCCCACCAGGAACCACGGAGCTGACACCACGGGGCCAGGCTCAGCCCACCTCGAGCACAACGCAAGGGCTCGATAAGCCAGCGCTCACGGGCATAAGCACAAG